TGGTGTGATGAAAACTTGTGAAAGAGTTTACAATAAACACCAATGACCTAACATCAGCAAAGAATGCTCATACGGAACCCTGCACCAGCTGTGACACACGGAGGTCCTTCTGCGGAACTGGAAGACTCTGCAGGCGACATGAGGGTCATTTCTAGAACCACCCTAAGTAAGGCCATTTTTTCCTCCCTCGAAAATGGTCTCCTTGTATGGCTTAAAATGACAGATGCCCTTTCTATTTTTCAGGGAAAGAAAAACACTTAAAAATAGATTTTAAAAAAGGAGTAAGAAGAAAATATACTAACAGCAAGTTCCTTCTTTAATCATTAAAAAGGTGTGGAGTAGCTCCCGCTGACACCCTCCCTCACAGCTGCCCACCTCTTTCTCAAGGAATTTGCTTTAAACCTGTGCTTGAACAGATCCACGCCTGAGAAAAGAATTCTTAAGAACAAGGTCTGTTAGAGCAAACAGCCTTTCCCAACACCAAAACCTCCGCGCTGCTGCAGGCGCCCCACTGAGCTGACATCACGAGCCCCTCCTGCTCCGTCCGAATTCCATTTCCCTCAACAAGCGGGAAACATTTTCTCAAGGGTTTGCCAGAAGTCCCTCTTGATGTCAGGGCTTGCACATTTTAAAAAGCATGAAAAAGAACGTCTACGACATGATCCTCCAGGCACATTCCAACACGCTGCTGCTGTTAGTCCTGAAAATGCTCCGGCGGAGCCCTCCGTAAACCAGAGCCCCCGGGGCTTGGGGGCTGCAGCAGGCCCGAGCTGTCATGCTCAGGAGCCGCGTCGCCGCGTTCCACAAAAAGCCACGCCACTTACTTTGCTCTGCTTATGGCAGCCCGCGCTACGTTCTAGCTCTTACTCCAGTCAGTTATGCAACAACAGGAGGCAGGGGACTGGAATGCAGTCACGAACATGTGAGCTAAAGTCATGGGCAGCCCCCCAGCTAGCCCCCACCCAAGCTGGCACTGCTCCTGCCATCCCTCCGATCTGGGTGGGGACCACCCTGGCTAATCCCGTCACTTCACCCCCACAGAACGTGCTGACCCCGGCAGGGGCTGAGCCAGGTGCTGTTCTAACACTTAACCGTGCTTCTTGCCATCTGAGCCCTTACAAAACCCCCATCTAGAAGAGGGTGAAACTGAGCCACGGTGAGACGTGATGTCCTTCGCTCCACGTCTGACAGTCTGAGACGGCGGGGCCGGGAGTCCAGCCCCGCGAGTGGGCTGGAAGGGAGTGGCTGACCGCCACGGCCGAGGCTGTCCCCAGGAGCTGCCCATCCTGGTGCAGGGTCCTCCGGGTGATGGCTTCTGGAGAATTATTTAGAATCCCTGTGGGTGGGTAGGGCCTTCTGTGGTGCTGCTGCTTAGCCCTGTGCCTTGATCTGTTCCAAGACCACCTTCCGAGGAGAGCCAGCAGCCAAGACAAATAAGCCCAAAACCTCACTTAGAAAATGTACACTAGTGACTATGACCTTGGGAGTCAGCCCCAGAAGGGCCCTTCTTCCCTAGCTTCAAGCTAAAGAGACTGTGGACAAGAAAAGAGGCAGTGGCCGCTATGTGACCTGCGGCCACCACGTCAGTCCCATGGCAGTTGCAAAGACAGGAACAGTGAGAAGTTTTAGCCGAGAAACTCCCTTTTCCCTAGAGACTATGATGAACTAGTGTTACAGTTCAGGGAGAGAGCTCTGTGGAGGACGGCCTGAGGACTGCCCCCTTCCCAGACTCACCACCACACCCCGCCCCCCAGCCCCCTGGTAGGTAAGTGGGTAAGCTCTGCTTCCCACAGGGCTAAGACCACATCTTGGTCAGAGTGTACAAAACTCAGAAAAAGTGGCATTAGGTAATAGCACCCAGGCGGAAAGACATCTCAAGCAGCGGCCGTGGGAAGAAGGACGGAGTACATGCCATACTCACTGTAAGGTTTTCCAATTCCAGCTGCCGTACTGTGTAATATGACTTAATATCTTCGGAGATCAAGGTTAATTTCAAATTTGTGTCTTCAAAGATCATTTCTTTCTCTTCTTTTTGTGGCCAGTACTGAGCACATTTTAACTAGGAGAGAAAATGATGAATTACTATAAGCAATGGACTGTTTTCCCTCGAAGGGAGGTAGAGAGTTCCTTCCATGAGCTTCAGGACAACCCAAAGGTAAACTGGGGGTTTTCTGACCTTGGATGTCACCATCAGCATAACCTGCCTGCCTCTGAGGGAGATGGGGCGGGGGCGGTGGAGACCCAGGGCTGGCTGGGCTTGGACCTCCAAACACGGCTGCTCCCTGGTTCTCCCTACACAAGGATAGGCTTCGGGGGTCTGGCTTTCCAGGCCGTCTATGAGGTGAAGCCGGACTGTGCCACAGCTTTAGTCTCTCACAGACTACTTTCTGTAGCCATTTTGAAGATCACCAAGAACCGGATTGGTGCTATTGGCCCAATGCAGACCACTTACCCGGGGGAACGGAACCAAGTCTGGAGGAGACTGTGGGACACCTGTGCAGGCTGGAGGGCTGTAACTGAATGTTCAGAGAAGGCGTAGACAGGGGCTCCTCCAAGGCTTAGGGTCGCCCGCTGCCCCATCCACCCTTTCATTCTGGTTTGGCTCAGTACCAAAAAATCCTTTTGATTTTCTAGTTTAATAATTCCAGGAACTATTCGATGGTCTTCATTTAAACATAGCTCATTAACTTTTTCTTCAAGCCAGCAAACTCCCAAAGATTTGATTTCACTTAAGAGCTGGTTTATTTTATTTTTTTTTAAGATTTTTTATTTTTTCATTTGAGAGAGAATGAGAGTGAGACAGAACATGAGAAGGGAGAAGGTCAGAGGGAGAAGCAGACTCCCCACGGAGTCTGGGAGCCTGATGTGGGACTCGATCCAGTGACTCCCGGATCATGACCTGAGCCAAAGGCAGTCGCCCAACCAACTGAGCCACCTAAGTGCCCATCACTTAAGAGTTTTAAGAAAGAAAGTTTGACTCAAATTTAGTGGTGTACTTTGAGTCAAGTTTCTATACTATACCTTTCTGTTTGGTGATGGTGATGTTGTGGACCAAAACAGCAGGCAGATGGGGGCTAAGTTGTAAGGTCTATAAGCCAGAGGGTCGGACAATGTGCCTAGACAGAGGGAACCCCAAAGACACGATGATTTCCATCACATGAAATTATCAGTGTGTGCAGCCAGCTCTTCCGGAAATGGTACACATCCACGCCCACTGCACCTGAATGCGGACTGCCCCCCGCCCCCGCACCTCCTCTGAGTTGCAGGATGAGCCACCTGAAATGCCAGGGCAGGTGGAGGGAGCCCCTCCAGGCCCAGCCTCTGCTGGTTAGAAGAGACCAAAGGTGCGGATCAGTGACAAGGGGGCATAGCAGGAGTAAACACTATGGATGTGCTGTGGGAATTCAGAAGAGGTGAAGGTTCCAGGCCAGCGGAAGTTACATGCAAGAGATGAGAAAACCCTATGGAAGGAGAGGCCTCTGTCATGATCCCAGGGTCCTGGGATCGAGCCCCACATCTGGCTCCCTGCTCAGTAGGGAGTCTGTTTCTCCCTCTCCCTCCACCCCCCACCTCATGCTCTCTTTTAAAATCTTTAAAAAAAAAAAAAAAAAAAAAAAAGTGACCTCTGACAGAGGCGTGCCTGGAGGGGTGACTAGGATTTCCTAGGCAGTGACTGCCCAGAAGTCAGTCTCAGAGGAACAGGGAGCAGGGCCAAGGGAAGACCAGGCCACAGCGACTCTGGGGGCAGGCTCGGGACCCGCAGTGTCACCTGGGCAGGGGAGCACCAGGAGGGTGCCGAGCAGAGTGCAGATAGAATCAGGAAGGCCCATCAGTCCTGCTCTAATGAAGCTGCACCGCCAAAAAAAAACAAGAGAAAAAGAAGAAGCAAACCGAGAAACACCAGACTGGGACGCCGACACAGCATCAGATGTCACGGTCCCGAAACAGAAGGCCAACAGGGCCTGGACTGGGCCTGTTTGAAAGACTGAGCTGGTTTCATCCACATCCCCTCCTAACACCGATGAGAAGTTGCCAAAGATGAACCCCTGGAACAGGACCAACCTGCCAGCATCAGAGCAATTCTGCCACTCAGGACATGGAAGCAGCAGTGACACGGCAAGGTCCTCTGCGGACCCAAAGGGGTGGGGCAGCTGAAAGGGGGACCGGGGAAGACGCTTCAAGGATGCTCGTCTTCCCACACTTCCAGTAATCAGACCCGTGCAATTCCTGAAGACCCCAGAGGCAGAGAGACTGCCCTGGTGGGTTCGGCGCCCCGTGTGCTGGAACGTGCCCCCAACACCACACGCAGAGAAGCAGAAACGCAGGACAGTGCGTATCTCAGAGAAGAGGCCGGTGCTTTCAGGTCTCATGGGCAGGGAAGGAGTCTTCTACAGCTCACCTCCACACAGCAAACACTCACTTTCAAAACCAAATCTAAAGCCCAATAAGTCTCTGTGATGTGGTAAAGACTCAGGAACTCCGCTACCGCGCAACGCCAGTGTGTGCTACGTGTCAGTCAAGCAATGTTTATTTTTAAGAGCTCGCAGGCGTCCACAGCAACATGCCGTGCTCTGCTTGCTGTCATTTCCTGTAGACACTTTAACACACAAAACAAAACAAAACAAAACACAAAAATAAGCTCAAGAGCACGACTTATTACTCTTCTATTAATCCGTTCCTACCCCCCCCCCCCCCCCCCCCCCCCCCCCCCCCCGGAGAAGAGACGTATTTTATTAGAAAGCAGTCCTTCCCCAGGATTCAAATCGTGCTGCATCCTGGCTCAGCAGCAAATGGCAGCACCCACATGGTGGATGTCCGTCACAGCTGCCCTTCCCGCATCGAAGCCGAATGTGAGAGAGAGGCCTTGGAGCCTTCACAAACAGCCAGGCAATCTTCAGAAAAATCCAGAGTCTCATGTGCACAAAAGTACTGAAGTCAAACTGCACCTTTAGTTGGGGTTTTGGGAGAGAGATAGAGGCGATATTTCTGGTTAAACACCTCCTTGTTTGTCTTTTTCTCTGCCTACACAATCCCCGCCCTTGCACCCAAATATACTCTTCACGGTCATGTCTCAACTCCTTCTTTAAACTGAACCCCCAAGAACTTGGGCTACTTGGATGAGCTCCGTCTAACACACATAATCATCTTCTGTACCACTGTTTTCCAGGAAGCACAAAAGCCCAAAAGGGTAACGGCAGGTCTGCCAAAAATAAGAGGGGCACATCCTATACTGCTCAGAGAAGGAAGGAAACCAGAAAACAAATACGCGTCGCATGGGAGCACTCTGCAAGCCGGGTCTGACTGCGGGCTGTGCACAGAGACCGTAACTACATCAGCTGGGCAGAAAGGCGCGGTGACTTCTTAGAACCCCCAGGCAGCTCTAACGGGAGGATAAATGTTGATGCCAAACTGAAATCGCTGATTCCCAAGAAACATTAAGAATCTCAAACCACCTGCTGCTTTCCACGCCAATGTGTCTGGCTGAATGACCCTGAGCAGGAAGAGCAGTTCCACAGGGAAACAGAGACTACTGTCACACAGTCACAGTAAACTGCATGGAAACCAACCAGCCAGGTTTCCTTTTTTTTTTTTTTTTTAAGTGGCCAAGGGGAAAAGCTGCCCGTTTACGGTCGGCCTTGGATGGGAGACAAGCCAAGGGCAGGCCTGGGGGCCAGCACGCGGCTACAGGACAGCACCCTGGCTAGTCTGGGCCAACAGCAAAGAGGTTTCACTCAAATATAGTAACGAACAAATAAAAAGGAAATGTTACCATATCCAATCATTTCTGAATAACGAACCTGATTTAAAAGTCCCAAACCCTCAATGCCATCGAGAACAGTGCTTCTCAAGGGGAGCAATTTTGCACCCCAGGGGACCCTGGACAATGTCTGGGGACATTCTGGATGGCCACACGTGGGAGTGGGTATGCCAGTGGCCCCCCTGTGGGCAGCACTGAGCCCCCGAGACCCCGAATGCTCATCAGGGCCGAACACATAAGGCCACCCTATCTCTGTCACCTTCCCCTGCGGAGAGTGTGTGCTGTGGGAACCTAAAGTCTGTTTCTTTATTCAAAATTGCTGACAAGAGTGGTGACGGGTGAGAGCTGGCTTTGCACTTGTAACTTCACATTTTACTAATCAAGCCACTAAAGCAGAAAACATTAAAAACCACTTTCACTGAAAAAAAAAAATGTCTCGGAAGCATTATTCCATTCTTCCAACACTCAAGTACGCTCTTCATCTGTTATCATCAAGCAAATAGATTCTTTAAGAACAGGGACTGAGGCAAAAACCATGATTTTAAACTTGTGCTGTCTTAAGAGGACGATCTACTGTAACTAAGGCTGTCACTTTGTGGGGGGGAGGGGAGGGGCCTGGCGGTGAGTCTTCCCCTTTGACCACTGACGTTTCCTTTGATGTGTTACTTCTCTGCACTTGTATCTGTTCCCTCTAAGGCCATGACTGTGCTTTCTTTGGAGGGGCAGCTTCTCTGGAGCCTGCATGTTCTCCTGGCAAGCCTCGGACCGAGAAGGCCGGGCCAGCAGGGAGAGCAGCGGCCCCGCTGAGCCCGAGCGCACTGTGCCAGCACCTGGCAAGGCCCTGGGCACATGCAGTTCTCCGTGCCTGGGCCGCTTGCTCCTCCTGGTATCCACACTCCTGAGCCCATCCCAGGGCCTCCGCCTCTGAGGCTGGAGAGCCCGAGTGTGCTGGCCATGGCGGGAAAAGAGGGAAGGAGCCAGGGAAGCAGGGGTGCAGCGCCCACTCGCTACGTGGCTGCCACACTGCTCGCTGTATACCACATCGCCTTTCATGGGAGACAGGCCTCCAGCAGGCAATCTGCAGAGTTGGAGCGGGGGAGTGAGGAGAGCACAAGCGGTGGCTGATCCAGGGAAGCACCCTGAGAACCTGCCAGAGGGGTGGGGCCGGGCGGGGACTCAGCTGTCAGGCCAGGGAACCTGGCAAGAAACCAGTAACAGAAGTTCTGGCTGGAGTTTGGAAATGGAGGTGGGACATCGGGGTCTAGGTTAACTAGGTCCTGTAGCCATATTACATACATCCCAGGAGCCAGTGGGGGCTGCACAAGGGTTTTTGGCTGGAAGAGGCGTAGGGACACTTGGTTTCGGAAGACCATTCTGGACACCAGGGGTAGGATACACGGAGGAGAGCAAGTCGAGAGGCTACAGCGGCGACTGCAGGGACAGATGCGTGGAGGGTGCTGCCCAGACCATCACGCACGTCTGGTACACATGCTATCCCTGGGGATGTTTTAGAGTTGCAGAGAACTTGGAAGAAATGCCACACCAATCCTCCAGTAAACGCACAGGCAGACAGCGTCCACGTTAACGAGGCGGCTGAGCGCCAGGCGTCTGGGTATTTGACAGAAGCTTTCCCAAATGTGGCGGCTCCCACAACTCAGTCAACAGGAGGCAAACTTGTCCAGCCAGAAAAGCAGAGACGAGGAGGATACAGAAGAAACTTGCTTTTCAGAATAAAGCTACGCTTACACAGCTCCATAAAGGGAACAGTAGCAGCCCCGGAACCCCCGGCAGAGGACCACAGAACACGCGCACGCACTCTGGGGAGAGACCGACTGATGGGGGCGGGGGGCAGGGGTGGAAGAGGTCCAGAGCAATGACTTTTCCCCCTCTTTTTAATTCATTTACTTTTCGGACTAATAGACATGTATTTATGTAATGCTTCTCTAAATTTTTCTAATAAAGCAGATACAACGTAAAAGAAATACAAAAGCAATGTAAAGAAATAAACTCAGACAAAAACGTCAACTTCACGGACTGGGACACATATGGATGGTGAGGTAAATGGCAGATAAATCCATGACTTACCGATCCTTTCTCCATTACTCTGTTGAGCATGACAACGCCCCTGCTTTTCTGCTCCCACACCATCTCCCAAAAGTGACCGCACGTGTTAGGCAAAGGACCCTGCAAATACACAATCCACAAAGTGTATACCATTTTACACACGGACATGTGCTCGGACACATCGCTCGTGCTCCAACGTGAGCGCGCCGCCGGCACTTAGCAGGTGACAGCGCCCTTCGGCAGAGCGGCCGCGGGGGTTCGGACAGGGACTGCCCTCCCTGCCTAGCGGTCAGTAACCTCAATTCTATTTTCTGCCACATGGTGAAAGGTTATTTCTGCCTCTCAGGGCTGGTTTGGGGCTGACCCACAGAGGACGGAAAAGGCTGATTCTACTTTCTGGTGTGAGCTGACTGGCGGAGGGGCTCCGCTGCGGTCGCTCTGGAGCACGGATGGAGTATGGAGCAAAGCTGGGTGCGGGCAAGAAGCAGTAGGGGAAGCAATCGTCAGCGACACTTCCAGGGGCTGGAGTCTCAGCTCCAGTCACTTATCATCCATGAGACCTCGGACGAGTCACTTTACATCTCCATGCCTCAGTTTCTCCACCCACTGCTCTCGACTGATCACAGTCCTTATTCAGAGGGTTATGAAAGTTAACTACGTTCTTACACATAAAGGCCTTACTGCAGCACCTGGAAGACAGTAAATAGCCAGTAAACCGTTAGCTATTCCTATCAATAATGATGGGACCGACCATGGACTGCCTTCATCCTTGGACCAACGAACATCTGAGATGTAGACACTTATCACCAGTCAAGGGGCCCAAGGGGTCCAGCGTGGGCACCAGGACATGGTGGGCTACCTGCCAACCTAGCAATGGGCACAGATGTTTACTGGATACCAGAATAGGAATGCCCCCTGCTGTGTCAAGTGTTAGTGCTGCCCAGAAGGGACATCACCTCTCACCTCCATGACAGAGCATGTCACCTCCTCCAACCAGCACCATGTCTAGAATGGTTTCTGGTCTCACCTCTTCTCACCCAAATTCTCCCGATTATTTGCATCTGTTCCCTTGAAGTCCCTCCATACCTTCCCTGACCAAATGAGCCCTCAACGCCCACTCACTTTCCTGAACTCCACTCCCTCCTGCTGCCTAAACCAGACACATCTGAGCTCCACACAGAGCCTCAGACAACAAAAGTCAGATACATCACCCTTTCTAGCCAATTAACAGAAACATGGCTCCCAGAAGACAGAGGTCCTGGGGCCTCCTGGCTGGCCACCTGGGTCTTACAGTCTGCAGCCTCGGCCCAAGGACCCGGTCTCACAGCTATGACTCTCACCAGTTACCAGCCTGTCACTGTCCCTGCTCCCCAGCACCCTAGCTTAGGATGGGTTTCAGGGATGAAAAATCATATAAGATCCAAAGGAGAACTTAGCTAACACTTCATTGTGGAAGTGACAGAGGGCATCTTTGACATTATTCTCTACATTTCCATACCACTGCCTTAAAAAACAAAACAAAACAAAACTACAGATTTGTATTATTTGCATAATGAACAGCACTGAAAATTTAAAAAATGGTCATGGTTTTCTTCGTTTTTGTGGCCTGGAAAATGTGTCGCTCCTACTCTCTAGAGGTACAACTTTGGGGTCAGGCTACTTTGATCCCTTTTATAAATCCCAGGGCAAAGGGTGACCGTGCAGGCAGCTAGGTATGCCCATGGTACCACCTGACAAAAACAGAGAGACCTTCAGATGTGCAAGTAATTGCTAGGGCATGAGGCTGGGGAAGACAGTAGTATGACGGTTTGCATGGCTATATCCTAGTGCTCCATTTGACTTTCTACCTCTATCCATCTTTGCTTTGGAATTCCTATCACACCAAAGTTAAATGGCTAAGATTAAGAAGTAAGAAACCTTGAAAAAAAAAAAAAAAAAAAAAAAAAAAAAAAGAAACTTGACTTCTAAAAAGAGAAGTTACCAAGAAGCTGCCTTTCCCTCAACCCCTTCCCGCCAGCCTGCTACCACCAGGATCTCATTCCTTATCACCCTACCCCAACAACCCCAGAGGTGCTAGGAAGACCACAGGCTGAGGCCTGGTAAAAGGCCTGCCCCCTACACATATACCAAGAACTTCCTCAATGGCCCCAGGGCTGAACATGGCGTGGCTGATGTTCCATACACTGGGAGGCATCTGAGATATTATTCCTCACAGACAGAAAGGAACTGGGACAGGACCAGATGGGGCAGTAAAGAAGGGCCATGGTAGGTATGTTGATCAGCTCCCTGCCCCAAGGCAGCCTCTGTTCATACGCTCTCTGGCTTCGCTATCACCTTGATCTCCCAGTATTAAACAGAAGTACCATGTTCAAAATCACCCTATACCCCAAAGCCATACAGAACACTGATAAACAGATATGGAATGAGAAAGCAAAAACTATGACTAAAAAGAAAGAAACGTGAAGTGTTTAGAGCAACTTACAGGTAAGAGACTAAGACTTGAGAAAATGAATTAAAAAGAAACTTCTCTATCCTCTTTCCCAGAGACCCACGGTCTTTGGGTCATATGCCAATAAGCGTTTCACAAGAAGGTCAAGTAGTAGTAAATCATTTTTGTGTTTTTCCACAAAGATGCCAAAAGGCAATGGGAATTTTAAATGATTTTGCATGCTTATCCATTTCATCTCAGGATGCTTTATCTCAGGGCCAAAGAATGAAGACCATGCTGAGGAATTCTGAGCGGACACCTGGATGAAGATTACTGGTCTACTGCTTTGATTTCCGTGAGCAGCCCTCAGTGCCCTGAGGTGAACACTTACAGGCCCTCCTCTTGCCATGGCCCTGCTGCCTCTGTCAGTGGACCACAGGCAATTCTGGCATTTCAGGCCGTTTTCTGTAAGCCCAGCAGCAGCATGCTTCCTGGAAAAATCACATGTTACAACCAAACCCTATCTCTGAAGGAAGATATTTTTCCTTCCTCGCTTTTTTGGATTGTGTACAACCTGGCCTTCTAAAGGAGGCGGCAGGTTTCATGTGAAGTATAAAGGACAGTACTGTACAATTCTCAAGTTGACATCAAGTAAGGCAAAAACCCATTAGAAAAATTTTGAACAATCCGTTTACCTGGGTAAGAATGTAACTCCTTTGGGCTTCTTCCATCTTGATCAAACTGGCATTGATGTAGTCATTATCTTCCTGATGGAGTTTAATCCGACTATGGTCAACTGAAAGGCAAGCCAGAACTTGGACGTTAGTCCTGCAGGACCAAAGCGTCCGCAAAGGTCATGCACCCAACGGGGAAAGCGAAAAAGGTGAGTCGGTGGCATTAAGGGCATTTGCACTGGCTGGCTTTTAATCATACACTGGCTTTTAATTGATATTAGTCATCAATAAGGGGATGACTTAGTATTCTCAGAAAGGTTTCCGGAAGTGTTTGAAACTGAATGTTAAATAGCAACAGGGACAAACGACACTAAAACATGGGTTCTGTCCTAATTGGGCAATCTATTCTTAGGTCCTATCTTCCTACACTTATCACTGCCCCACAACTCAGGAGGCTGTGAGAAGGGGGTGTCAAGGGATCTTTTCTTGGATGCCTAATAAAAACTTTCACAAGGTAAAAAAAAATTCAGGGGATTCAATCTTTAAAAGAGAAAAAAATGCACTGAAAATTTCATCTAGTCCCTAGAGCTCTAGTTGGTAGGATTTATGATCATATTTCCACCTAATCTATGTCTAATGGTTTGAAGATGAAATGACCTAAATATATAGTCGTGTGGAAAAGGTTACCTGAATTCCTTTATATAAAGTTGTTGTTGTTATTGTTTTAAGTTTTGAGTGTAATATACTTAAATGATTCTAACCTATGAACAAAATTCAATTAGAACTGAATTCTAATATTTCAAGTTCAGGAACTGTCATATCAAAGACTTAAAAGATAATTAATTGGAAAAAATAAACTCTAGAGTCCAAAACACCAAAAATACATCAAATATGACTTGTAAAAGTTTTCGAAAATAAACTCTCATTTGGAAGGTCTGCCCAGGTTACTGAAAATGCATAGCTACATTTTTTTTCCTTTTACCATGACTTTGTCACATAAGCAGTGGTTCCCTGAGGGCCACTTTCCTGATCCTGCTAGTGCAGCTAACAAGAACAGGTGGTTATTTTTACTTCTGGTACAACACAGGGGATGATGAACGCAGGTGACCGCTGTCATAAATACTACTTTTTCTTCTCTAGCCCAGGTGGAAAGAAGTTAATGGGGACACATGGTTTGGGGCTTTCTGTTCTAAAAGATTTCAAGGAAATGTTTTCAAAAATCAGTCACCATTTGGAATAATGTTTCTCATTGTAGAGGATTAATACAAACTGGAATACTTGGGTAATATTTAAGTCATGGAGATAGATCTTAAAGAAAAATGATGAGACCATATAAACCCTTCGGGGTTTATATGAATGGGTTCCAACAGTACTGGGTGACCTTGAACAAACAATTTCTCCTCTGAGCACTGGGCTTTTCGTTGGCCAAATGGAAGACAGACAAAAGATCACTTTCTACCTTGAATCATTCTTCTCATGTCCCCCCTGACCTTAAGAGCAAATTATCTGTCCTACTGCAGAGTTGGGGGAAAACAAGAGAAACAGGAGGGAGATTGGGAGTGAAAAGGTTTGGGAGCTGTTTCCTGGGAAGAATATTTTAAATATTCCTTTCTTTCCCCCTCTGTATCTGTAAAACTGGCTCATAAAACCATTTAGATGAGCACTAATGAAAAATGTAGAAAAGAAATATTAAGAGGACATTACTGCCTCGTGTAGAGCAAGGACGGCAAGGGGGGGGTCTCTTGGCTCTGCATGAAAGATGCCAACAGTGATTATTCTCTGTAGTTCAGAGCTGCTGGCGGGGGCTTTACAACCGAATCACCCGAGGTTTGTTTTTTTTTTTTTTAAATAAAACATGCTAGGTGCCACAGCCTAGACGTGCTGAATCAAGAGTGTCGGGGCACCATCACATGGCACTTGAGCACAAGCACTAGACTTCAGATGTGCCTGGTGTGCCCCTTCAGTTAACAACCGTCTCAACCACAGAGAACGTTTATGAGCCAGGCGCTGGGCTAAGTGGTTTGTCATTTTATTTCATCTTCAAGCCATCCTGAGATCTTCGTGGCTCCTGCTTTACTGGAGATCAGAGAACAGACCCATCCGCCCAAAGCCACACAGCTGGAAGCGGCAGGCTGAGACACCGCCAGGTGTAGAACCGAGGCAGCACGCAGAGACAGACTGCCCGGGGCCAACCTGGGTCCGCTGTGTGCCCCTCCCAGGAACCAGGTGCTGCACAGCTCAGGGCAGGAGGCACTGCTGACTCTCCCACAGAGAGCGGCAGACACCAGCGCCCATGGGAGTCGTGTGACCTAGCAGGCGTTCGGGAAGCGCCTGGGCGAGGGAAGACTGACTGTGTCTTCTGTGTCACTGGCAGATGGAAGGGACTGCCATGGGAGACACTGGCAACTACAAGCATCTTTGATGGACAGATTCTAAAATCCCTGGAGGGGAGTCAGAAGGTTCTCTGTGGCCTAGAGGAGGTGGTGAAGTTCATGCCCTTTACTTGGCTCCAGTGTTTCTTGCTTTACACAAATTCTAAAACCTTTAGTTCTTGACTTTTGAAATATCAGCAGATTCAGAGCCAATTACTCAGAAGGCAGAGGAGGCTGTCAGAGGCCGGCAGGCATGCTGGGAGACAATGGCAAGAAAGAGCTGGAAGAATGATGATGGCGGTGGGGGGGAGGGTGGGTGGGGCAGGACTCAAGGAACAAAGTTGTCTTTAGTGGAGGGCAAACGCCACTCCCATTCTTCAGTGGCTGTGTGGGGCACCGGTGCAGTTCAAGACACTGCTCGGGGTCTAATAATACTGTTGCTGAGTCATCCAGAAAAGGTTATATTATGCCTACTATACTCCGCTTCAGCTGGGAGGAAAATGATTCATCATAAAAATAATCAAAGCTAAAAAAAGTGCTTTGAACTTAGCTGAATTTTCCAGAAACCGAAACCTTATTCCTTCTACAATCGTGGAAGAAACGAACAAACCATTACTCTATGCCTCTGATGCTTTGATTACAGGAAACAACCATGTCATAAAGCTGTACTTCTATGGCTTTACGACCACAGCCTGGGTGTTCAGGGGTCCTGCCGGAGGGGTCCTGCCGGAGAGGCCCTGTGCTGAGAAGATGCCGCAGCACGCGCACCCAGTGGAAGCGGGGAGACTGGCAATGGCGATGTGAATACTTACAGGGACTGACATCTCTGTACCTGTTTCGGTTTTTGTTCTTAGGAAGCTTGGCCACTCTACATGGGAAGTCACTGGCCTCGTGTCGGATATCCTACAAAAGAAAAAAAAAAAAAGGATAAAGAGTTCTCTTTTGAAATCTCTGGCATCAGGAATCCATGCAGACATTTAACAAGTGTGGGCTACATGCCAGGCACTGAGGGGACCCGGGACAGAAACACACATCAAAGAGCACTAGGCAGTGTGGGAAATGCAAGGTGATCATTCAGAGCCATGTACAAGGTCAGGAAGAGAAACCAGAAGAGGAACAACCACATGCCTGCCGTGGGAGGAAGGCGTGGGGCTGGGAGCTGCAAAGATGTGGAAGAGGGCAGGGAGATGGAGAGGGATGGGGGGGGTGGTATCTTCTGCGAGGGACAGTGAGTGGGCTCACGGGAGCAGTGACAGGCGGCTGGAGCACACAGGTGGGCAGGCTAGATCTTGGAAAGCCTTGAACGTCACGCCTGGCAGTGCCATCTGTAGCCCTGTATAAAGCTACAGTGATAAAGGGCAAATAAAATGCACTTTTATGCCAACACCTGTTCAATTGCTTTCTGAGGAGATGGCAGACAAACCCCATTACAGCAAACTGTCCGAAAGAGGAGTGCCTGGGTTAACAGAAGACCCGAATCATGCCTCCTGCTAGACTGATCACAGGCATCTAATCCCGCTCTTCTCAAACACCACTGTAATTCCATTTAAAAATCTTTTCAATTTGTATTTTGTTCTTATTAAAAGAAACCCACACGACAATGTGAATGTACTTACTGCCACTAAGATATACACCTAAAAATGGTTACAGCGGTAAATTTTGCTATGTGTATTTTACTACAATTAAAAAAAAAAAAAAAAGGCAAACTCACAGGAGAGGGCAGAACAGGAGAAGATAGCGACAGAATTTTGGAAGCTAGAAACCTTATTAGTAGTTGGCTGGTCTGAGAAAGCTCAATTACAAGCCAGCAGTGGGGAAAGCAGAGCACCAGCCCATTTCCACCACAGAATGCTGCAGAGGCTCCAGAAATGCTGCTTCTGGATGGAGGGGTGGGGTTCAGTGCAGGGGACTGGGCTGGAGCTGACTGAGAAGCAGCGGATCTCCCCACTGCCCCCCTTCCGTGCTGCTGGGTGCCTGCCACCCCACCCCACAGAACTCCAGAGAATCATTTTCTGGAGAATATAAATCAGAGCGCTTTGCATGTGATCCAAGCAGACAAGAGGGAAGACCAGAAGATACTATCACCAGGGCATACAACCAATAGCCCAGCTAGAGGACTCACGGCCAGATTAGGGTTTATGGGCCCCTTCCACCTTCTCAAGGCTCTCAATCTGCTTTGTGAGCCCCAATTCTTCATCACACACAGACAACCACGGATTCCAAGATGTGAGAAGAATGCCTCGAATATAAAAGAGATTTACAAGAAAAATGAAACAGGAAAAAAGCCCCTTGGAAGACATAAACTACAGAGAAAAGAAAGCTTTAAAAAATGTATTATTGATATACTCAGTGAGATAAGAATAGATATTGTATCTATGAACTCAGAACAAAATGTTAGGCAAAGGTAGAAGAAATCCTCCCAGAAAGTAAAGCACCCCCATCCCCCAAAACCCACAATAGAAAATCCGGCAAAACAAAAGACAAGGAAAGAAAACATTAAAAAAAAAAAAGTTCAAGGAAATCTTACAGACCCATCAAATGCTCACCATAATGATAAAAACAGACCTACACTAAGGCACATTAATATGTGATTCCAGAATCCTTCAAAGAAAATTTCTGGGGGCACCTGGGTGGCTCAGTTAGTTGAGCATGTACTCTTAGTTTCCACTAGGGTCATGAGCTCAGGGTCATGGGATCAAGCCCTGTATTGGGCTCTGTGCTCAGCGGGGAGTCTGCTGGAGATTTTCTCTCCCTCTCTCTGTCCCTCCCCACAAGTGCGCGTGCACTCTCTCTCTCTCTAAAACAAATAAATCTTAATAAAGAAAAGAAAATATTCTGTAAGTTCCTCGAAAGAAAAAATAGTTCACTTTCAAAGGATAAGGTCATCAGAATGGCTTCAGACTTTTCGAGAATACTGAAAGAGAGCAATGGAGCAATGCTTTTAGAACCTGAAACAAAAGGATCTCTAGCCTAGAATTCTATACCAACCCAATTATCACCCAGCCAGCCGAGGCAATAAATTAACTAAATTAACCCTGCAGAGCGGCATAGCCTCCAACACTGGACCACACCCATGCTTGCAGCTTCAGCAAGACACGGAGCATATCTCCCCACTGAGGAAAGAAAGAAACCAAGAAAGAGAAAAGTGTAAGATACAGTAAGGTTAAAAAAAAAAAAAATCTGACACAAGAGCAAAGGCAAAGGAAACTTCCACTGAAACTGTGGAGGGAGGCGCTCCCTATTGGACCTAGGAGCAAGGGGGCCAGACTGGAGCAGTACGACTACAAGAGATCGATGGGTCTGTGACCTGCGTTTGTCCACCACACCCACTGTGACTGAAGGAAACCACCAGAGGGAAATCAGGAGAAAACCTGAAATCCAAGAAACAGGGAATCCAATCAAGGAAAAAAGAAGAGGTTTCAAGATGATAGCTATGTCTGTCACGTCTCCAGGCCAAGCAATCCAGATAGAAGAAGGAAGGAGGTCTCCAGTACAGATGCCTCTAAAACAAAACCTGGAAAGAAATCACCTGAAATTGCTTTAATACTGCGGCCACCACCCTCATGTGGCTACTGAGAGCGCCGGAGAGGGGCCAGCTGGAGAAGAGGTGCTGTGTTAAGTGTTCAAATGCGCATCAGATTGTGATGGCAGTACTAAAAAAGGAAAGTAAAATATCTCATATTTTCAGTAGTATTTGTTGAAATAACATTTTGGACACACGGGGCCAAATAAACTACTATGCCTCTCATCTGCTTCTTTCTACCTTTCTTCCCATGGCCACTGGGAAGGCGAGACTGCCCAAGCAGGGTGCCCAGTATCCCTCCCGGCCAGTGATGACCGACCTCGTGGAAAACTGCCCGAGAGGCTCTAAGAGGTTCGGAAGAATTAGCAATAGGCAGAAAGAGCCCTTTGCAGATGAAAGTATACAAGGCAATTATTAACTATGGGAAAACTGTGACTATGGGCAGAGGCAAACAATGTCCATGACGGATACTGTTTTAAGGAAAAGGTGTAACAGACTGGGAGAACAGGGAAGGGGAAGCAAAGGGGAGGAAAAGCAACAAGGATGCCCGTTCAAGAAAATGAAATCCTCCACCTGCGTGAAGGTCTAAACCAATAAGAAGAAAAACATCCTCCTTAGAGATATGGAGATCTATACAAGCGAGAATCAGCAGCTCAAAGAACTGAAAATGGCTGTGAGCAGAGACGCCACCGCAGTGGGCCGAGGTGTAGACCGCACAGGACCAGCCTGCATCACCAACCGATCATGGCCCTCTTTCACTTCTCAAGCCATGTGCAGATTCAACGGGAATTAAAAAAAAAAAAAAAAAAAGCCACATTCTGCTAGTCTACTTACTTAAGAAACTGCAAAATGGCGGGGAGGCCTTTCTGACTCACACTAGAGATGAGCTAATAATTTAGCAGCACCTTTATAGATGATAAACTTACCTGAGACAAGCAAAATAATCCAGCATAACACACTCATCGTGTCGTTTGAGGATGAGCTCAAGCTTTCAGGGAAATGCTATACAACAGAGAAAAATCACCTGAAGGAATACAAATCTAAGTCTTAAGTATGTTTTTTCTGTTTGACTGGAAGCACTTAGCAACAAGGAGGAATTCTGCCTTGGGAGGTGAAACGATCTGGTCAGTCCAGCTGGTGCGACTGAAGAGACGGAAGAAATCACTGAGAGGGTTAAACCACCGAACCAACAAATACTCGCTCTGCGGAAATAAGGGCCAAAGTATCCGTAACTGTGGGCAACTGATTTTATTCAGCTAAAGGATTATATTAACATGTACTTTTTTATCGCGTTTGCCACCATCCCCCCCAAAAAAGAGAGAAAGGGAAAGAAAGTAAAATTTGGAGATGTCACTTAGAAAGATCTTGAGAAAATAAGAGGCACTCACACAATACTTGCTAAAAACTGATTTTAAAATTAAGGTAAACTCACAGACTAAAAATGCACTGATCTTACATGCAATAAAGCTTTCCTAATTAACTTGAACCTACAAATAAGAAAATACACCCATTTAAGTGTTTCTCTACAGTGGCATATAGGAAATACATACATGCTCTGAATACAAGTATTTTTATTTCATTTAGTCAAATAAAATGCCAGGATTACAGTCTTGAACTTGAGCAGTGATGAAGTACCTTTATAGTTAAAGGTAACTAGTAACAGTAGTTTGGAAATAAAATGGACTAGACCAAACACCTTCACAGAATTATAGCAAAACGAGATTTCTACATTGTGAGACTGTATCAAAGGTAACTTTCTAAGAGCTGTAGAAAAAGCAGATTACTGACTAATGAACAAGTTTAAGGAGATTTCCATCACCAGTATAAAATATACCCAGATCATTTATCATGCTGATCAAGATTAAATAATCCAACAAGTGTGTAGAATTTCCACTCAGAGAAAATAAATAATAAAATAAAAGGTCTTAAAGCTGATGATGAGATGATGAATGCAGCATAAACTGGGAGCCAAGACAAAAAGGAAATAATGAACTTGCCATGAAACAGGGGTCCCAGAAGCATCCCTTCATGAGAAACAACATGTCCAGACCAAAGTTATCTCTTAGCATTTCAGGGAGAGGATCACATTAAGTGAGAAATTATACTAGTAAGAAATGAAATATACCAACGTGTAACAAATAAATTCTTTATTTAGCTCCTCCTTCTCTTAGCCAGTTCTTTACTGGCTTTTCGAGAGCCTACTTCGTATTCTTCTAGATTTCAGAAATGTGACAGAATAAAACAGCATGTGGACTAGATATCCAAGATTCATGCTTTCCTGGAGCTAATATGATAACGTGCTCCTGAATGGGGGCTCAAGTTTGGCCCAAACTTATAGGCAAATGATTGAAATTACACTCTATCATTTTATACGGGCACT